TCACTATGTTTTTTGGATACCAAAGCAAGCTCAAACCTCATGGTAATATGATTTGTTCCCCATTTTGAGTATTTTATTATAAGAAAATAAAATGAGGTCTGTATTTTGGGCAACACTATATATTGGTTTGGACAAAGCCCTTACTGTGTGCATGTACAGTGGGCTGACAGAACACACCAAACCCCTAAACACCCTTTCTTGGGGGGTCAATATGAATCTTTTTTGTAGATTTTTTTGGTTGGATGGGATCATGGGGGATTGGGAAAGTGATCACAATAGCTATTTGATTGCATTGCAAAAGAAAAAGAAAAAAGGTCACAAACACAAAAATTGGCACTTTATTCAATTGTTATAATAAGCTTGGGGAAAATAGGAGGGAACAGTTAAGGAGCTAGGCTGAATGATAGAAAAATTAAAATACAAACAGCTTTTGTTTGCTTGTGGGCTTATTGAAAACCACTTTGTATCATAATTCACTTGTTGTTACAACCAAGTTGTACTTGCAGTTAGTATGATGGATTCAATGTTAAGTTGGTGCTGAGGCAAAGTTGGTTGGTGAGAAAGTCAATGGTAAACAGAAGACCATTGATGATGAGTTGTTATAAGGAAATCCTGTGCCCAAGTATCACAGGGGGCAAAAATGAAACAGATACAGTATCTGCCATGTATCTACAGCGTATCACTTCATTTATCTGAACCCCAATAAAAAAATTATCTGACCAATGTGCTTGTATTTGCAAGGAGATGCAACAATTGAGTTTTTGGCCATGCAGCTTTGCAGAATTCTCTATGATACACACAGAGTATTGTATCTGTTACATACTTGCAGGGGGTGACACCTCCCAAATCTGAACATTTTTGTGGGGTTCAAATTTTTATTTCCAGGCACTGTATGTAAATAGACTCATAAAACAAACAAGGGAATCCGTATTTTGGACAGAGCTGGGTTTGGGAAATTCTCAAGGATTCCTTGACTGTCTGTAAGATACATCAAACAAACAGTATCTGGAACAATTGTTCTTGGTATTGAATTGGAGCTATGAATTCTGCTTTTTTGATGCCCATCTATCTACACATTTGTTACTGAAGTCATGCACTGATCAGGACACCAAAATTCCCTCAAGCTATGTATGCATGTATATTTTATATGTCAACAACAACATTTTTCAATTAGAGCATCTCCACCGCGGGTTGCTAAACCCATTATAGCAACCCCAGGCCGATTTAGCAACGCCACCGTGGTTGCTAAACGCTCAAAAAAAATAGCAACTCGGCCTCCAGGAGCTATTGTGTTGCCAAACATAGAAACTGGATAGCAACCCGACCTTCCAAGTATCACAGATCTCACCTGTGATTCTCTCCCTCCTCTGTCCCCATATCCCCCGACACCCACTCACCAGGCACTTCAAAGACTAGTACCGGTCTTGAGAGTACACTCTCAAATACTGGTACTGTCACTAGAGAGTGTACACTCTCAAATACCGGTACCGTCACTAGAGAGTGTACACTCTCAAATACCGGTACCGGTCACTAGAGAGTGTACACTCTCCAATACCGGTACCGTCACTAGAGAGTGTACACTCTCAAATACCGGTACCGGTCACTAGAGAGTGTACACTCTTGAAGACCGGTACCGGTTGCTGGAGAACATGCACTCTCAAGGACCAGAACGGTCGCTGAAGAACGTACACTCCCAAAGACCGGTACCACCGGTCTTTGAGAGTTATACATACTTTCAAGACCGGTACCGGTAGCTATGTGTGTCTGGTATGGGTTGGTAGAGCAAGGATTGGATCCCCGGGGGAACCTTTCACGTTCCACAGTTGCTATCTTGAGCAACTCGCGGTGCAAAATCAATCGGCTTCCAGTTGCTAAAAGTGCGGCGCAGTTGCCGAACTTGGAGATTTGGCAACTCTGATGGCAACCGGCGGTGGAGATGGTCTTACTTCTCTTGATCAAAGTCTCACTGAAGACTTCATTTCCTTTGAAGCTGGAAGTGGCAACTGTTTTGAAGTGGTGTGCACTGTGACCATGAAGAAGAACCTCTCTATCCTAATCTTTTGGCCCAAGAATACTCATTATACATCCCTTGCTATTGTATTTTTCTATCCACCATTTGCTATCCACAATGCAGGTTGCCTGCAGGTTGCCTCTAGGTATGGTGGAATTTTTATTATGTTTTCTGGGTGTTGTTAATTACAAGCAACTCAATGAATGGAAGTGATCAGGGGGAAATTACCTGAATCAATCTCTCAGAGAAAAAAATACAATCCAGTTAGAGAAGCAGAAGAGTTGTGGTCTTTTGTGTATTTTCCTCAATTTAGATATACTCACATCTTTCTTCTTGTTTTCCATCATAACAAAGAAAATATAGCCCCAGAAATCAATTTGGAACCTACACAAGAGGTTGGAAGTAGTCTTATCCATCCACAGGGTTTTTCTTCATTGGATCAATCCCTGGGAGGTCTAACATGACATAATGAGGAGGAAATTGACAATTATGTTGGAAGTGCCCAGCACATGGCGGAGAAACTTACTGGAACAGCAAAAGATTGTAAGCTTCAAATTTATATCCAAGCAGCAGAAATCAATGAAAGCAGCTGAGATATTTGATTATCTTACTGTCTTAATAGAGCTCAAACTTCTACATTATAATTATGAAAGATGAGGTATGCCTTGTCTTAATTTATGCTAATTTCTATTAAAAACCAGTTTAAACAAATCTTCTGTGGGATGTTTTTCTTGCAGTGAAAGAAGAACTTCACAACCTTGTCTGTAATCTTGAACTCATTGGCAAAAATAAAACAAATTTTCAAACAAACAATTTAAAATTGTGCTGGTGAATTAGAAGCCATCCATCAGATGATTTCCAATCATATAGAAACAAGTATCTTCCTTTCAAAAGTTAGTAGAAGACCAAAAATTACAGGAGTAGGAGATATTTCAGATATAAGTGAACCAGAAAAGGAAAAGAATTTTTGAAGGCATTGAATTAATATTTTATCATTCATTTTTCTAATGATTATGACCACAAAAATGCTAAAGAAAATTCTTTCAAACAATTGTTTGTGTGTAAAAAAATGAGTTGACAACTTGAAATCAATTAAAAAACCTATTCAACAAGCCAGTTGCTCTAATGCTGGCTTACCAGAATATTTTTCAATCATTTGGTCCTGTATATGGGAATGAAAAATATGGAAAGAACATAATTGAAAGCTGGTACTCATCATCATTCATCAATATATTTTCAAGTCCGTACAATGAGGTTCTATTTGAATTGGTAAAAATCAGATAAATGTTTCCTAACAAATTTCTTCTACTTGTTTTCATATGTTTGACAGCTATTGAACCTCAATCTGAGGAACCACTTTCTTCAAATTTATTTCTTGAATGTTATCCTGATACCCACAAAATTGAGCCAAGGTAAAGCATGGAGGAATTCTCTGAATGGATTGTACAATTCAAAGCTCTCCTA